ATCTTAGCAAATTGTTTCCTGAAATGAAAGACTCATTTTATTCATATCATTTAAAAAATAATACGAATAAAGAAGTAAACAAAGTATGGGAAAATATAATAAAAAAATATCAATTTATTTTAGAACCATTATTTCTCGCATGCTCTGAAAAAGATATACCATTATCTCAAACTTCAAGCAATTATAGTGAAAAGGCTGGGAGATCTCCTTCTTCTGCGAAGCAGGACACTTTGTATCTAAATTATGCTATAAAACAATATCAAGAAGCTTAATTATATCGAAATTGGTTTGACCCATTAAAAATAAACTTTTTGCAAATAAAAGAACCCAATAATTATGCTACTATTTCATGTAAAGTATATGATTTAGAAATACCCCATGCATTACTCGATACAGGTTCAGATAGGTCACATATTTCTGAAAATATCGCAAACCATTTTATAAAATATTTTGGGTTAAAATTAAATAGAAAAAAGATTTATAGACTAACAGGTGCTGTAGGCGAAAAACAATCTATTGGAAGCTTTTCTGATATACCTGTTACTATAGGTATTGAAAATGATACCTTAACAATTTCAGATGAGTTTTCAGTTTTACCAACAGAAAAAGATAATAATGGTAATGATATATCATTATTTATTCTTGGTACTAGATGGCAACATCGAGCTGGCTGGGAACCTATAGTAAAGGGTGAGTTTACAGCATCAGCTAATGGAAAGACTATTACTATTCCACTTTCTGTTTATAATAAAAATGAGGAAGCAAAGCTTCGAATTTCCAATTCACTCAAAAAAAAATAATTAGTTCCAAAGAGGCTTTACATAGTAAAGATACAATACAATACATTAAGGAAGCTAAGTTTCGAGATATTTCTATATGGGAAAAAAGTATAAATCAATTCATCTCTGAATTCTAACCCTCTGAATCTAGATATATCAGGATATAACCTACCATCTTTTTCTTCTAATTCATGAATAAGACTATATATAGTACTATCTCGAATATATTTTTTCAATGTAAACTCAAATAAATTTCTAGTATTATTTCTCATATCTATCTTAATTTGGTTGCATTCTATTTCTTTTTGTTGTTTAATATTTTTTAAGGTTTCCTCAGTAGATTTAATAAATTCTTGACGTAAATTATCTGTAGCTTCTTTGATTCTAGTATTAATCTCTTCTTCAGAGTATGACCCTTCGGGTCTATGAAGCAAGCTATTAGGGGAAAAATCAGAGATTCGAGATTTTGTCTCTTCGAATCCTGACTTTTTGGGTTTTGAAACTGGTATTGCTGTACAATAAGAC